GCCGGGGCGCGGGCAGCCCGCTTACCTTCTGTCCCTGCATGTTCCAGGTGGCCACGAAGAGGGCCACGTTCCGGTCTGGAAAGTAGCGAGCCAGCTCGTCTGCCCCCATCAGGGCCCCGCTCGCCAGGAGACTCCCCTCCAGGTAGCTCCTGCGGACACGGGACAGACTGAACCGGGGCCGGGGGGTGGGGGGTAGCAGCACATGGGCCCAGGGAGGGGCCGGGAGCAGGACACATCTCCCAGGGGTCGGGAGCTCCTCTCCCAGAGCTGGGATTCCCTCAGGACCCCGTGGTCGGCACAGAGCACAGTGCCGAGGTGCCCTGCTCTCTAGGGAAACCCGCTGTGTTCACAGTGCTACAAACACCACAGGCTTTCGGATTCCCTCCGTCGCCTCCCGAGAGGAAGGGGCGTAAAGGTGACATTTGGGGCTTTTTTGTGGAACCGCTAAGGGCAAAGCCCCGGAAGGGCCGCAGAGGTCGAGGTGGGCTTCTGCACGGTAAGCAGACTTGGGGGGGGACTTGCGCCCTTGTCCGGGGCTCCGGCCTTTGCCTCGCCGCCCAGCACTGGGAGCTCGTAAAGGCTGCCCGTGACACACCTGTCCTCACAGGACCCGAAAGTTCAATCCACTGTGAGATTCTCATAGAACAGAGCAGGCAAATGGTGCAAAGTCTCGAACAGCATCGCAGAGGCCCTAATACAGCACAGCTAAGCCCCAGCTCTGGTCCTGCCCTCGCACAGGGGGCCGCGTCTGACACCCGCTCCTTCCGTGAGCGCCGTGCAGGACTTAGGCTTCGAGGCCATCGGTCTGTCACCGCTTAACCCCTGAAAGCAGCCTCGGCCGATGCCCATGTGCCAATGAGACTGCACTTAAGGACACCAAAACCTGAGTTTCATGTAATTTCCACGTGTCATGAAAAGAATGTTAGTACGGCCTTGGGTTTTTTTTTTTTTTCAACCACTTGAAAACCGTTCCTGGAGGACCTGTGATAGGACCGTGTCTGGTCAGGTTCGCAAGGAGGGAGGGGAACCCATGCGCTCAATCCAAGTTCAAATGTCTCACTTGCTGTTTTCATTCCGACTTGCTAAGAAATCCCTACACCTTAGCTTGCAAACAGGCACCAATCCCTTTGAAGGAGAGGAAATCGGGATGCAGTCCTTACAAACTCGCATGAGAAACTCTTAAACTCTGACCAAGTTTTGTAGGACATGAATTCAAGTACGTCAGGAGGGAGGAACCTCCTTGAGGTCACCCCACCGTGCTGGGGATCCTAACCGGCTGACTGCTGCCCGCAGGGCTGTCTTCTCCAAACCAGCCCCGTCCGCAGCGTAACCAGAAAGCAGCCCCTCCAAGGGCACAGTCTGCATCCCTTTCCTCAGTCCTCAGCCCTGACCCGGGCCAGATCCAGACTTGTCTGCGTGCAGCCCACAAGCTAAGAATCTCTCCTGCGCTTTTATATTATTTGTAAATACGTATTTATTTATTTATTTCTTTATTTTGGCTGCACCGGGTCTTAGTTGCAGCACGCGGGATCTTCGCTGCGGCACGTAGGATCTTTTAGGTGTGGCATTCGGACTTCTTAGTGGTGGCACGCGGGACGTAGTTCCCCGACCAGGGATCAAACCCGGGCCCCCTGCATTGGGAGCGTGGTGTCTTACCCACTGGACCACCAGGGAGGTCCCCTACGCTTTTAAATGGTTGGGAAAAACCAGTAGTCCGTGGCATGGGAAAGTGCCCTGAGATTCACCCTTCGGCCTCCCTGAAGGAGGCGTTCCTGCCCCACAGCCGCACTGCTGGTGCCAGGCCTGGGCTGCTCTCCCACCCACCACAGCAGAGCTGAGCACTGCCACAGAGACCACACGGCTCCCACAGTTGAAACGGTCTCTACCCAGCCCGTCGACCCGTGTCCTAGGACACACGGAGGGTCTGGAGGTGGGGAGCCCGTCAACCCACTGTCGGCTGCTTGTGTGAAAGCAAAGCTGGGGATCTGGTTTTGAGATGTGCTTCTCATTTTTTGTGTAACAGGTGAGTCTACATAAATTGCATAAAATTTGAACAGAGAACTCATACTTGTTTTCTGGCTGCTCGGCCTGCGGGATCTTAGTTCTTAGGGGCCATGGAAGCGAGAGCGCCGAGTCCTAGCCACTGGACAACCCGGGAATTCCCTGTGAAATCATGCTTTAAACGCACGAAGAGATCTCGCTCTTTACGAGAAACACGCTGAATTACTTTAACAAAGGAACCCGTTTTTCCCTAAAACAGTGCCCGGTGCTGATGGAAGGTGCAGGCGGGAGGCTGGCAGCCAGAGGAACCACCTGCCTGGCTTTCACTGATGGGCTCACCAAGGGCGGGGGTGGGTGAGGATTACCTTCCAGCTGCCCCCTGACCCCAGAATCTGCAAATGTGACCTTATTTAGAAAAAGAATCTTTGCAGACAGATGGGCAGCCAGAGGAACCACCTGCCTGGCTTTCACTGATGGGCTCACCAAGGGCGGGGGTGGGTGAGGATTACCTTCCAGCTGCCCCCTGACCCCAGAATCTGCAAATGTGACCTTATTTAGAAAAAGAATCTTTGCAGACAGATGTAATTAGTTAAGGATCTTGAGATGAGGTCCTCCTGGATGAGGGTGGCCCTAAATCCAATGACTGCTGTCCCTACAGAAGAGGAGAGACAGACACAGAGGAGAAGCCGCGTGAGGACGGAGCAGAGACTGGGGTGACGCGGCCACAAGCCGGGGACGCCTGGGCCCCCAGCAGCTGGAAGAGGCAGGAAGGACCCTCCCTGGAGGCTCGGGAGGGAGCGCGGCACTACCCCACCTGGATTTCTGAATTCTGGCCTCAGAACTGGGACAGAGTAACTCCTGTTTTAAGGCTCTAGTCTGCGGCGCTTTGTTGCGGCCGCCCCAGGACACCAGCACAGGGACTGCCTCACTCTTCCCCTGCCCGGGCCCACGTCCAGAGCGGTTGGCGCAGGCCTCGTCTGGATGGGAGGGTGCGGCGGGGGGCGGTGGTGACAGAGCTCCCACTGCCCCCCGGGGCCTCGAGCGCCCCGGCAGGGAGTGGGTGGCGTGGGGCCCCCAAGTCAGGGCCGAGGCCCGATGTGCGCTTCAAACAACCTGCCCAGCCCCGGCCGGTGCAGCAGGGGCCGTGAGAGCCAGCAGTCAGCGGCCAGGCCCAGCACGGACAGGGCCGGGGGTCGGGGAGAGTGCGGGATGGCCTCCCGAGTCACAGCGTGGGCACCGCAGTGTGTCCCGACACCAGGCCCCCAGAGACGATGGGTCAGGAGCGAGCTGGTGGTGGGCGTGGCTGGGTTGGGCTCAGAAGCGCCTGGGACCCCGGTCCTGGTGAGCCCTCACGGCGCTGGCTCGGGAGGGGTGGGCAGAGGTGCGAGATGGGAGCCGAGAGGAAGGGTGGCGCCCACCTCCCCTTCAGACTATAAAGAAGTCAAGACGGACTAGTTATTCAAGCCCCCTGAGGCCCGGAAGCCCAGCGTCCTCCGAGATGCGAGACCCCTCTCCTTGCCCATGGGGTCGGAGCGGGGGTGGGGATTGCTGGGCAGCCCTCGGCAGACCGAGCCCCGAACGCTGAGAAATCCCGGGGCGCTCCTGAGAGCAGAGTGCATGAGTCGGGCTCTGCCTGCGCCCCTCCCCGCCAGAGGTGGGCCCCGGGGACCCTCCCCTCGGGGCAGCCCAGCCGCAGTCCCTGGGGCCCCCAGCCGTGTCCAGCTCTCTGTCCTGGAAAAGTGCCAGCACGTGCACAGGGCACGGCTAGCTAAACGCTGGTCCTGACCAAAGCGGCTACGTGGACGCGGGTTCCCCGCCCCACCCTGGAGTCCTGGGCCGACCTGCACACGTGGACGAAGGTCGTCCCCGACGGAGCAAGAAGTGGGAAGGAAAACAGGGCCGCCCAGTGCGCGGAGGGATCTGCGCCCCCCACCCCCTACCTGCTTCACAGAGCCTGCGGGGCTGAGACGCAGAGGAAAAGCTGGGGGGGGCGGGCCTGGGAGATGGTGGTCGGTGGACCCGCTGCAACACTTCACACGCTTTCAGGGGAGGCTTCCGCGGTTCTCACGGGGCTTCTGAAGGCCCATGAAAACCACGGACGCAGGCCACGATGCCGCCCACCCCCGAGGCCCTACCTGCTGCGGACGTCCTTGGTGCGGACGGGCGCCAGAAGGCTGACGGCGGACCTGGCCGAGTGCAGGGAGCAGTCGTCCCGGGCCAGGGGGCTCGGGGGCCGGCCGGGGCGCAGGCCGCTGTGGGCCCAGAACGCTCTGGCCTGCCACCGCAGCTGACGGTCCGCGTGATCCAAGTCCACCTTGTTTGCTGTCCGCAGGGCGTCGGAGGCGACGTTCCAGTCCATGGCGGGCAGTGGGTGCGGGGGAAGCAGGCTGGCCAGCCGCGGGGTGCTCCCGGCCGAGGCCCCGTCCCGGTGCAGGAGGTCCAGGGAAGTGCTGATCATCCCGGAAAGACAGTTACCCAGCGAGGAGGGGCCTCCGCTGCCCAGGGCCCTGCGGGTTGTGGGGATCTCCTGCAGGGAGGTGCTCAGGCAGGGCGGGGAGCCACCGCGGGCGGCGGTCTCGGGGGCCTCGTCCTGCAGGGAGCCCCCGGAGGGGCTGGGCCCGTTCCTCGCAGCCAGGTCCTCACGGCTGGTTCGAAAACGCCTCTTCCTCCAGCCCTTCTCATCCAGGGACAATGCTCGCTCCAGCCTGGGCCTCGGCGGCGGCGGCTTCGGACTGAAGGGTCTCCCCCTGGCCTGTGGGTCCTCGTTGCCGACTTGCGCCAGGGTGTCCAGGGGGCGCACTGGGCTCTTCTCGGGTCCCCGACGGTCGTCAGCGGCCGGGGACCCGGGGCGGGCGGCGAGGTCTTCGTCAGTGTTTGGAAGCCGCCCCTTGAGCATTCTGACTTCAGGCTGCAGATGCCCCTGGGCGGTGGGCTGCTGGGCGGCCTCCGAGTGCCCCAGGCTCGCCAACTGGGACGGCACAGTCCAGCGGCCAGCCCTCACACCCGGGGGCAGCCTGGCCGAGCCGGGAGACAGCTCCTCCTGGGGCTGCTGGCGACGTCCAGCGTCAGGGATGCGTGGTCAGCCGTCGCTGGGCGAGCTGCGGAGGAGAGAAAGGGCAGCAGCTCCCCCTGGGGCTGGGGTGGTCCAGCTGGAGCAGAGCCAGCTGCTGCATGGCTGGGAGCCCTGACGGTCTGGAGTCCTCGGCAAGTACCTAAGGGAAAACCACGCGATTAGCCTTCCACGACCGGAGCCCCGATGCCATCTAATGATCCTGGAGGACAGCTGTGGTGCAGGGTGACAGAGCGGACAGGTCAGCAGCAGTCCAGCAAGAACAGGCACGTCGGCATCCGCGCCGCCGCCTCCTCCTAGGAGGCGGGTGAAGGCCCAGCGTCTTAGGAAGGAGAGAAGCCACCCTCCTGACAGGGCTGCTCCTCACGTGGGGAGCCAGGGGCGCGACCCACTGAGAATTCCCGCCCCCAAGGTGTAGGCACGGCCTTGGCAGGGGTCCCGGCCCGCGCCCCTTCGCCCGGGAGCCCGGCGACCCGGCCTCGCTCACCTGAGAGCCCTCCACCATCGCTCGGCCCGCAGACGCCGCCCCGAGAGCGGCTGACCCTGAGCGGGTCTGCGGCCCCCAGTCGCTCCGCGGGCTTCGGCGGCCGCTCCCCGGCAACCGGCGGGCAGGCCGGCCCCGGCCCCGGCGCCCGCAGCGGCCACTGGCGGCCGGAGGACCCAGCGGCGCCAAGCGAGGCGGGAGGGCGCCCTCTGGTGGGCGCCAGGAGCACCGCGGCTCCCTTCCCCGCGTCCGCCCCGCTCGCCGCTCCCCTGCCCGTCTTCCCCGCGCCCGGAAGCCCCTGCTCTCCTCTCGTCTAGTCGGGGGGCGGCGGGGGACCTTCTCTGCAGAGGGGATACTAGGAGGCAGAGCGTTGCCCTGGGCCATCAGGATGGGTCTTCCCATCAGACCCACCCGCCGCCGATCAGAGAGGAGCCCCTTCTTCGTGGGAGCCCCTAATGGGCGAGTCTGGCAGAAGACGGGATGCAGTGGCCCGGGGCGCCTCTGTAAGACAATCCACAACGGGCGGGTGAGGCCAGGGTCTCCCCACGGGCTTCCAATCAACAAAAGGAGACATGGTGAAAGGGCGTGAGAGCGCAAAATATTTTATTTAACAATGTGCGTTTAGGAAAAATAGCAGCTCCCGCCTCAGAGGAAGCTTCTTGAATCAAAAGTCGCTGGCACTCAAACACAGAGAACGACGGGCAGGGCTGAGGAGGCAGCCGAGGGCGCCAGGTGGGTCTCGGCCCAGGAACTGCACCGAGCGCTGACCCTGGGACGCGAGAGACTGCCCGTCGACAAGGTCGGCCCCTCCCAAAGGGACAAATCAGTGAAACATTCTGGAAACCATTCCGTGAGTCCTTCCTAGACGGCAGGTGGCCCAGAGCGGCCCGCGCGGACCCCACCCTCACACAAGCCCTACCCTTGGACTAAAGCCCCAACAAACCGTGTTCCCCCAGCGTTCTACAGAAATTATTTCCTAATGATTTTTTCTTTAAATATTTAAATCTTTTCCTTAGACTGAAGAAGAAAGTGAACAGTTTTAAGAACAGTCGATGAAGCCTTGAAGCTGAGTCCACCAGGAGGAGGTCTTCCTGTGCAGGTTCACAGGCGGAGTCAGCATATTAGCCACGGAAGGTCTCGGTGCAGAAAGATCAGATTCCAGAGCTTCTGACAAGAAATTATTTTAAGCCACTTTCTTCAAGATGTTACCAACTCCTTAAATGATGCAATGGTGAGAGGAAGCCAGACAACTGGACTGCCCCGCAAAGGCGGGCCAGAACACATGGCCTCAGCTGGTCCACAGGGAAAAATCCAAACCAAACTTATCAGTCACAGTTGTGACGCTGGTTTATTAACTCGGATCAGTCACATCAGAGCACGAGGCCCCTGTGGCTCTGTCCCAGCGACGGAGCTGCCCCTCGTTGACAGCAGTCCCTCCGGCTGCGTCCCTCCGGCTGAGTGGAAGCGTCATGGTCCTAGTGAGGCCACAGGAAATTGCAGGGCTGGACACATCTTCGCTACAGGAGATAAACACACGTCAGCAGCGAGGGCCGCGCTCAAAACCTACCGGAATTGTTGCTAAATGAAACCCATGTTTCCTTTGAGACGAAGCATCCTTCCAGGTTCAACAGCATGAGGTGGGGGCTAACCACCTCAGGACGTGCACCCCTGGCCGCGTTCCCCTCTGACTCAAAGGTGCACTGTTTCCTTCCAGCGTCTTAAAGGACCCCTGGGATTTATCTGGCAGTAATTCACCGTTAGGTTTTGAGAGATGCCTTAGTTACTGAAAAGCAAAGTCCTCCCGTAGCCAAGATGTTTCCAGCTTCACTTAGCGTAACATCCTCAAATGACTGTGAATGTTGGATCCTTAAATCGTTCCTTCAGGTGGAAGAATCTAGTAAGTCACAGATTCCCTCTTTTCATCCAGCTTCCTGAAGGTGTGGAATTAATGCTGGCAACACTTCATAAATCATTTCCGAATCACTGCATCCGTCTCCACTTGGGAACAGACCGGAGTCGCAAGCAATCAGTCTGAGCTCTTGGTGGAATAATCACTTCGGGGTTCCAAATGCCAATCCAGGACAGGGACCATTCCAGCTCAATATGCTGGGTACTTCCTCTGGCCAATCCTTCCCATCCTTGAACTTCCCGAGGCAGCAGAGGCCTGAAACGACAAGGGGCAGCACTGAGCTCTGCACGCCCGTCCACGACGGCGGGGGGGGCCCCCTTGGGGAAGGATAAGCAGGTCTGTGGAACAAGCCCGAACAACAGACCGTTCTCTCAGCAAACAGGCACGTTCTGTTCGTTTTATTCTGTTTGCAAGCCCACGGTCACAGACCAAGTCAGTAGCACATCTTGGCATTATTCCCTTTAAAGGTGCCTGCGGCTTGGTTAGGGTGGTGGGGTGAGGCTGACTCCAACAGCTGGGTGTCTAAAGAGCCCGGGAGAGCGTGGTCTGGCCTCTGCCACCGAGGGGCGCAAGGGATGCCGGGGGGAGGCCGCGACAGAACACAGGCGCCTCCTCTTGCTCCCGCGAAAATGCCAACTGAAGTGACAGTCAAGGAGTTTTGGTAAAGGCATAAACTGCAAGATGCAGGTTACAGGAGAGAAGAAAACAACTACCGAATCGTGGAATGGAGAAGCAGGTGGCAGCCGGGGATGAGAAAGGTGCAGGGGGCAGGAAGGCCCGCCCCCGAGGAAGCCCGAGGCCGGGGACACGAGGCGGTGAGGGCAGGTCTGCCTTGGGACAGGCCGGCGTCAGGTGAGGCTTTGCATCCCGAAAGCCAAGACCTCCCTGCAGACCTCTGCACCCCCCTGCGCTCCCCAGACTGGCGGCCAGTCCATCCTCCACAGGCCAGAACTTGGGAGGGAAAGAAATAAAAGGAAGCATTCGTGACCTTCCCGGCCTGGAGGTCACGAGCTACCAGGTGAAGGGAGGCCAAGGCCAGCATGGGGGAGGGAGTCAGGCCTGCCCCACAGCAGTGTCAGCAGG